TTTCCATATCAATGTTTCGCAGATTTTTAGCACTAATAGAGTTAGAGAGATTCGAGGAGGCACGTCAAGACATGAAAATGCTTTTACATTACTCAGATAACACCATGTCTCAGTTTCTGCCGACGCAATTTCATGAAATTTCACACAAAATTAAGGAAAAGGCAAATGTTAATGTCAAAATAAATATACATAAGTACAAAAATTCATCAACTTGCAAGACACGTTAATTTGGTGACAGTAGATAATATAAAAATTGTAACACATTTTTCATACTTAATATATGTATTTTAATAAGAGTTCTTATATTTCACTCAATATTACATATAATTTAACAAACGGATTTGAATTCTTGTCTCTCTTATTATATAATTAGTTATCCCTATTGATTAATAGTACACACATTAAATAGATAAACATTACGTTATACAAATATAATCTTTTATGCAACACGTGCATGGAAAGTGCCCTATTACGCACGCTATGCGTGCGTGATAGACCATTTTCCAGGCACTTGCAACATAAAATAGGGAGTGTAAGCCGTGTGTAAAGATGAAAATTCCCGGGTGCGGTCGTGCGTAAACTCCGCAACCGGGAATTTTCATCTTACCTCACTTGTTACACAAATGACTATTACCGTTAATTTATATTTTTATCACAAATTATATTATATTTAAACATGCGTTTAATTTTGTTTTGTATTACACTGTAAAAAATTTAATGTCACAAAAAGTCCACTCTAAATTTTGTGTTAAAATAACTCATGCATTGTGTTATTTTAACACAAAATTTAGAGTGGATTTTCTGGGACATTAAATTTTTTACTGTGTAGGTATCACAAATGATGGGTCTAGCGTTTAACGTGAGCGTAGATAAGGAGAAACGTGAAAACGCTATGATTAATCTGCTTAGGCTCGCAAGTTGGAGTCCTGATGCTTACAAGATCTTCGAAAAAGAAGTGGGGGAGAACGATGAAGCGATCTGTAGCGCGATTCGTATTGTAGACGAGTTATGCAAAAACAATATTAATCATACTGACCTCACTATGATAAATGTTGTTTTGCGTTGGTGTCTGGAAATGATGAACAGTAAATCTACAGAGAGAGTCAACGCGTCTCAATACTGTTTACAGGTAAATAACATCAAGCGAAATACGTGCAGTTATCATGCACATATTTCAGTAATTAATTTATTGTGTATTTCGGTTTCAGAATATATTAAACAAATACAGCGGCATGAATAATGAACCCAGTTCAAAACCCGATGTGGATTTGTGCGAAGAGCATAAGGAAGAAATTGACAATATTCTGTCGTGCTTGTTGGATAAATTAAGGAATAAAACAACAACAGGCATTGCTAGAGACGCAATAATAGAACTCATTATGCGTAACATTCATTATACTGCGTTAGACTGGGCCAAACGGTTAGTCGAGTTTGACGGTTTAGAAATATTAATGGAGATAGCCAGTCAATCGGAGGAATACCAATACGAATCTTCGTTGGATATCACATCTTCCACACAAACTGTAACCAGTGTGTGCTTAGCAAAAATATGTGAAAACTTGTACAATGATGATGCTAAGCAATTTTTCAACATTATTAGTGAATTTATTGGAGTTGAATTGAATTTGACGACTGTAACATCTAATGTATGAGTTTTTTAACTTTTGATTTTTCCCGATGACTTAAATTGTTTTAAAATGAATGTAGCATATTTTTAACTATAGTATATTTGAGAAATTTTCGATATTGTATATTCTGTATGTTTCAAATTAAAATATGATAATAACAGAGTTTAATCAAAATTTATTGGAGAATGACTTTCATTTATCGTATTTTCTGAAGTTAATTTAGTATTAATTAGAGATTTCTCCTATTTTCAAGCAAAATTTAGTAACATCAAAATTGTCTTGAAATCTTGATTTTTTTAAATTAGTTATTTTTTCACAAAATGTAAAAATTTATAAATAGAGTTAATCGATTGTTTTACAGGTGCGTGCAGTAGTCGCAATGACAACCTTAACACTCGGCCCGTTTAAAGTTGCAGACGTAATTATTACTGAAGACGGGTTTGATGAGATAATTGTTGGTTTTTCGGAAAAAAATTACATATTGCTACGAAACTTGATTTGCGAATTTATCTGCGTCGTTGTAACCAAATATGACGAATTCAAGACGTTTATAGGTCGAAGTTTAACTATATTAGAGGATCAGTATTATTCTAAGGACCTTGATGATACAATTCGAGTTCGAGCGTTTGTGGTTATTTGCAAGATGAACAAATTCAAAGAATCGATAAGAAGATATCGGACTGTCCATACGTTTGACGAGGAACAGATAGGTACATGGCTGGAGGTTTGCAGACGATTCTTGATCAATCCTCAAAGAGATATGAGAAAATGGGCCGTTGAAGGTCTGTCGTATCTCACTTTCAACATCGGAGTCAAAAAGAAATTAATCGAAGACCGAGAAGCCGTTCAAGCGATAATCGCGTTTGCCAAGACTGAAAATCAATCAGTTCTTTACCGAGTGGACATATTGTTGCTGAACTTGTGCCACGCTTATGACAATAAAGATGTTCTCATACCCGAGATATTAATGTTTCTCGAATATTTTCATCTTGAGAATCATATATTGATCGAGGACAGAGACGTGGAAGAAAGACGGCGCGTGTTAGCGCATGCCGGTGTGACCATTGCAGCGCTTTGGTGAGTCTCGCTAAAACAAATAGCCAGAATAGCAAGGAATTGATAGCCCACGTTTTTGACGCAATATGCAGTCAAGAGGAATTGAGAAAAATAGTTGTTGATGAATGCGGTACGGACGCATTGTTGTCGTTAGCGCTGAGTGGCACAGACAAGGGAAAGAAGATAGCTTTGCAAGTCCTAGTCCATCTGGCACTCACGATACCTCCTGAGGTTGCGTTTTCTGGTCAGATGATCATGCAGGTTGTTCGGCCAATCTTTAATCTCCTAAAACGGAAGTATGACGCTCTTGCGATTAACATTCTCTCAGTTTTGTGCAATCTAGCTAGTGTCAATGACAGCATGCGACAACATATATTCAACGAGGCAGGATATGAGAGATTATCGCGCATTTTGATTTATAGCCACAAAACAGCAAGTCAACGCTATTGTGGGAGACTTAGGGCCGCAGAACTTCTCGATAATTTGGCATTAAACCGCGAAGTTGCTATTAAGTTTTACGAGCATGCCAAAGCTAAGGAAGTTATGAAATCAGTGTTGGATATATTGTGCTTCTACGGAGATAAAAACAAGGCATTGGCTGGGGCTGGAGTGAGACTCACGGCGGTTGACAACGAATATTGCGAGAAAATGCTTGATAGGATATATTCTTCGGACGAGAATGCAATACCCTTACAGGTTTTACTCTATAATTCAGACAGTAATTTACAATATAGGGGTGTTAAAACTGTGCTAAACATGATGAAAAGCACAAGAAAGGTCGCTACAAAATTCATAGAAACAAACATAATAATGGAACAACTAAGGGAATTGAGCAAGAACGATACTGTGCAAAAGAAGAGCGAGGAATTAGCATCCCTTGCTTTAGAGGTTGCTGCGGAATGGGGCAAACTCAAGAAAAATGTCGAACGGAACGGATCGTCACAGAGCACTGATAATATAGAACATTCGATTAAGAAGGCTAAATGCGAAGATTAATTGCAATATAAATGATATATTAATAGAATATTATTTTTTATTTTAATAATATAGCACACTCTCTCGTATACTGTATAGCACACTATACAGGGTGTCCGAAAAATCGCCTACTCCACTTCGGGAGGTGATTCGGGACCCAAAAGCAAGCAAAAAAGTTCATATAAACATAGGTCCGGAAATGAGCCGTTTCCGAGTTATAGCCACTTTTATGTTCAAAAATCGTAATTTAGAATCCGCTTGGCATCCCTCTTTCTTAATTATTTCTTAAATTAAAAATTTTTTCAATGTTCATCTCGAAAAGATGTTATATATTGCCAGTCACGGTCGATTTAAATTACTTTAATTGTTAAAAATTTTTATTTTTAAATATTTTTAATTTTTTTAATTTTAATTTTTTTATTTTTTTTAATTTTTCAATATTTGTAAATACGATTACATTATTTTTAAAAGAAATTAGTTGTTTTCACAGCTACTTGAAATCAGTTGTTTTCACGGCTATTCAAAATCAGTTGTTTTCACGGCTACTTGAAATCAGTTGTTTTCACGCCTATTCAAAATCAGTAAGTAAATCACGGCTTTTCAATAATTAGTTTCAAATTATTATTTAACAACACCTTACTTTTAGGTTGTATCTAATCTTTCCGTATTCATCAATGGATCGTTTAAGTTTTAATGAATTAGCTGATATTTAAAAATAAAAATTTTTAATTTAAGAAATAATTAAAAAAGAGGGATGTCAAGCGGATTCTAAATTACGATTTTTGAACATAAAAGTGGCTATTACTCGGAAACGGCTCATTTCCGGACCTATGTTTGTATGAACTTTTTTGCTTGTTTTTGGGTTCCGAATCACCTCCCGAAGTGGAGTAGGCGATTTTTCGGACACCCTGTATAGTGCTGTATAGTACAATTAATAAATAATGTAATTTTGAATTTACAAGACTCTTGCTATGGCGCTTTTTACCTACGATAAATAACATACTGGCTTCTTCCAGCACAAGAGTATACTCTTTCTCGACAGGCTTGAGTCATCGTTATATCTCTGCAAAAAATCTTCCTGTTAATTCTTGATTGCTGGTCTTGCTGGTTAAAATTTTTTTTCTCTGTTGCCAGCAATCGGTGGAGCTCGGAGAGTGCCGAAGACGTATAGACGATTTTCATCTCGATTCTTCGCCTGATTCTTGCAAAGTAGAAACGCCGGCTAATGTTGCCGCCGATAATGTTCATTTATCTTTCCGCAACCAATCAACCTACATAAGTTTTATAACAATATATTATAGTGTATATATGTAATGTATGCACAATGGTGTACCAGCTATTCACGCTTTTTAGGTTTTTTAGGATGGCACGCTATTTAGGTTTTTTACAATGGTTTCAATTGTCGAGTCCGCATCATTGAAGACTTCATCGTTTCTCATGTTTCCACAGATAGTCCGGAAAACATGAGCAACTTCTTCTGCACAGTTGAAATAATCTCCAATGTACTAAAGAGCGATATAAGCATAAAGCGTATATTACGATCGTATTAAAATGTATGCAAGAGGACGCTTTCTAAACGCAAACAATAATGTTTCGTTGTACAATATTAATTATACTATGATGAGCATATGAACTTATTACTTATATTACTAATCTGCAATTCATTAAATAACGGTACATTATCAAAGCAAAATATTTTTAATCGCTATAGTCTTTTATAAGACATCTTTAATTTTCCAAATGGCAAGTCCACCACGGCACCCAGTTGAGCAGCAACATTTCCGCATCTCCATTTTTTATCAGCGTCTCGAATTCTTGCCTCCCTGCCTCAAATAAAACTCACCAAAGTTTACTCGGACCTTCAATATTGACGTTCTGCAGTCTGGTTTTCAAGTCAAGAAGCTGAAAGATACACATTTGTATAAGAACGAGCATTCGTCAAATCTCTGAAACGTTCTTAATTATACATCTTGCTCGACGTCTGAATTCAATGTATAGTCCTGCTCGCCGCTAGTGCTTCTCTCGTCCGAAATTATCTTCTAAGATGTCATCTTCCAGCTCCGCCTCCCAGAAGTGCACATGTTCGTGCACTCTCTTAAGGATTACCATCATTTCTTGCCGTTGCACCGTTTTCCTCAGACTTGATCGAGCTCCTTCTCGACGCATCATCTGCGATTTGTAAAGCTCGGTCTTGTAATTGCCTATGGTGTATCGCAAACAGGTACACAGACGCTCGCGGTTGTTGCACCTATTATGAAAAAAAACGCTGAATTTTAAAGTGAAAATCACAATAGCATGTAAGAGCGACCAATTGCAACACTCAACCTCCGCGAAATCTCAGCTTGTAACTTTACAATTTTGTACGAATGAAAAAAATGGTTTGAAAAAAACAGCAGTAGTTTAAGAAGAAACGCACGCGGATTGAAAAGAATTGCACGCATTTATAAAAATCCTCATACGCGGTTTCGGAAGAACCGCGCGCCGTTTTAAACGGTTAAAAAGAATCGTCGGTGTATTTGACGCATGCAATCATTATTTGTAAACAAAATTATATTATAAATTTCATGACATTCTTAACATTTTACATTTTCCTTATCCCCTTCAGGATCGTTAGCGCATATGCGGATACGTACCTGACGACGATCGGGCATTCTTATTTAGGACTCTAATCCTAGCGTTAATCTTGATGTAATTCAAACCAAGCCTCTCTATTGGTTGTTGAGATCTTACTTCAGCGAACAATATCGACGAATTATCGCGTCGCGACGCGACGTCTCACTTGTAATTTTGTTTTGTCACGCGCTACGTTCAACGAGTTCGAGTTTATCGCCGATAATAATGTCTCATCCTGAGTCTTGAATTCTGCAAAAAATCAATCTGATGGCCTTCCACGCGGTCGTGCTTGTGCTTTCGAAATCCACGTAATGCGCAGCGTCGTGCCTCATTAGCTACGCCGATGTTTGCCAGTTTAAATTACTTCTTGAAAAGTGCTTGGATTACAAAACAATCGTTGAGCGAGTAGATGAAGTTTGAGGGCTCAAACGACACGAGAGAACAAAGAGAAAGCAATCTGACAGGTAATAAAGGATCTTATACATTCCGTTCTATTTCGCAGACGATCTACATAAAAGCTTGCCACGCGTTCAATGTGATCCAATTCAATGTAATAAAAAGGTATTCGTAACAAACGTGTAAGATTAACTATTATTACTTTATGGCCGAAAATACCTCGAAGAATCGTCGAGGCAAATAGAACAAAACGTTTCATCTCCGCTCGACCACAATATTGTATATCTTAAACAAGTGAAACAGTAAAGCTAAGTGATCGAGCCAGTAATTCCAATGTAGGACTATTAAACACAATATACGAATTCTTCTGAATAAGTTGCAATTAGAGCATTAATATAAACGTTTAGAACCATCTCATGTTATTCGAAGAAAGAGCGACGTATGACAAAACATCCTAATTTTATAATAAATCGTATTAATGTTTCTTTTCTTCATGTAACTAAAAAATTAACTTTCGTGTACTTGTAATATTTATCTCGTCGAAATGTGACCCTCCATGAATCTATAAAGTCTTTGTTGCTCGAGTCTTTATTTTCTTATGCTACCCTTCAGCCACCGACCGTTGTGACGATCTGTTTAAGTATATGAAACACGTTTAAACTAGTTTGAACAGACCAAAAAAACTGGATGTGTCAAAGAAAAAAATCGAAAATCAACCACTCGGTTGACGGAACATTAAATACCGTTATATAGACAAAAATATCGATGGAACGAGATTTAATCTCACGCAATTGATTTCTCGCAAGTCTTAAATAAATCGCACGCCTTCTCAGGCACGCTTTTGTCGAAGAATATAAATTTTCGATTCATAAAAAGGAGAAGTGTAAATTGCCCCTGACTATTGCAGCCAAATGTACATAATTGCTTTTCTCGGATTAAAACAAACTGAAGTATCTACGTGTAATGTCATGAATCGTTGTCGATCCAAACCCGAACTGTCGCGATCGATAATAATTGAATTACAATCAGTAGTAGATTGGATAACATTATTCAGTCGATATTTAACCCCAATGCTCTTATGTCTATGTCGAAGATAATTTATCGAAAATAAACCTGTCTTTCAATGCTAGTGCAAGTTAACTGCTTTTTAATATAAAAATTGTTGCAACAATCGATTATGATTTATATGCAAGTTTTACGTTAAAAAAATGCAATGTAATTATTATTAAAGTGTAAGTTTATTTTTGACCCATTAATGTCCCATACTTGCGTATAATTATTTTGTAACAAGTTCATAATTTGTTCGCATTTAAGATAATATGTATAAGATAATATGTACAAAATGTCGTAGAGAGTCTTTTGAAGTGTGTGTGTGTGTGTGTGTGTGTGTGTGTGTGTGTGTGTGTTAAACATAAATTAAAATATCATATATTTTGTATTGTAGTATTCTTCCACCATGGCAGAGTCAGATATGACTGCACAGAAATGGAAGGAAGAGGGTGATAAAGAGTTTAACCAAAGCAATTGGTCCAAAGCCTTAAGTCACTACACAAAGGCAATTGAACTAGCAACAGACGACACTGAGAAAGGATTGTATTATGATAAACGAGCTGCCACATATTTCGAGCTGCGTGATTACGACAAAGCGATTGAAGACTGCGACAGTGCAATGTTAAAAATATTTCATAACGTTTCCATAACATTGTTTCGCAGATTTTTAGCATTAATAGAGTTAGAGAAATTTGAGGAGGCATTCGAAAAGGATCAGGACGAGAAAATTATTTCATCTTGCTCAAATGACATATTACCTGAGCACATAGTGGCGCAATTTCGTGAAATTTTAGACAAACATATTAAGAAAAGAGCAAGTATTAATGTCAAAATAAATATACATAACTACAAAAATTCACCAACTTGCAAGACACATTAATTTAATCTAAATAATATAAAAATAATAACACATTTTTCATACTTAATATATTTTAATAAGAATTCTTATTTTATACAATATTACATATAATTTGACAAACGGGTTTGAGTTCTTGTTTCTCTTATTACATAATTATTTCTTCTTATCAATTAATAATCTACACACTATATAGATAAATATTTATGTCATGCAAATATAATCTTTCATAGTTAATATATATTTTTATTATAGACCATTATATTTAAATACACGCTTATTTTTGTTTTGTATTAGCTAGGTATCACAAATGAAAGCTTTAGCACTTAACGTAAACGCAGATGAAGAGAAACGTGAAAACGCCATAATTATTCTGCTGAGACTTGTACGTTGGAAAACTGATGCCTATAAAATCTTCATAAAAGAACTGGGAGAGAATGATGAAGTAATCTGTAGCGCGATTCGTATTGTAGGCGAGTCATGCAATAAGGGCAATGTTAGTCGAACTAAGTCCACTATGATAAACGTTGTTTTGCCTTGGTGTCTGGAAATGATAAACAACCCATACACAGAAATAGTCAACGCATCTCAATATTGTTTACAGGTAAATATTATCGACTAAAATGTAGTTAGCATACTCGTATTTCTGTAATTAATTTATTGTGTAACTCGGTTTTAGAATATATTAAATACTTGTTGCGGCAGAAACGATAAACCCGATTCAATACCCGACGAGGCTTTGTGCAAGAAGCATAAAAAAGTAATTGACAAGATTCTGTCATGCTTGTTGGATAAAATAGAAAATGAAACAACAACAAGCATTGCTAGAGACGCATTAATAAAATTTATTACACGTAACATTCATTATACTGCGTTACACTGGGCCAAACGGTTGGTCGAGTTTGGCGGTTTGCAAAAATTAATGGAGGTAGCCAGTCAATGCGAAAGCGGATATTACGACGGATATTACAATTTGTTTGATATTACGTCTTCCACGCAAACTATAACCAGCGTGTGTTTAGCAAAAATCGATGAAAACTTGGATGAAAATGATAAGGAAGAATTTTTCAACATCATTAATGGATTTATTAGAGAAGAATTGAATTCGAATGACATAGCATGTCATGTATGAATTTTGTAACTTTCGATCTTTCCCGATGACTTAAATTGTTTTAAAATAAAAGGAGCATATTTTTAACTATAGTATATTTGAGAAATTGTCGATATTGTATATTTAATATGTTTTAAATTAAAATATGATGATAACAGAGTTTAATCGAAATTTATTGGAGAATAATTTTCATTTATCGTATTTTCTGAAGCTTAATTTACTCTTAATTAGAGATTTCTTCTATTTTCAATCAAAGTTTAATAACACTGAAACTGTCTTGATTTAAAAATAGTATATTGTACAACTAGTGGGAACAGTGGCCGATTCTGAATGAGTGTGAAGGTGGTCGCACGAGCGAAGCGAGTGCGACCATCACACTCATTTGGGCTCGACCACTCTTCCCACGAGTTGTTCATACTATTTTTCCTAACAAGAGCGTGAAACAGGCCGCTTTTCGCGCTTGTTTTACAATTTCATTTCTCCACTAGTTGAGAAATGGCTCCATTTTTCAACTAGTGGAGAAATGGATCATTTTGCTCACTCAAAACAAGCGCGAAAAGCGGCACATTTCACGCTCGCGTTAAGAAAAAATAATTATTGTTTCACAAATCGTAAAAAATCATAAATTGTTAATTGTCTGTTTTACAGGTGCGTGCAATAGTTGCGATGACAACCTTAACACTCGGTCCATTTCATGTTGCAAACGCAATTATTACTCAAGACGGATTTGATTATAAAATTCTTTATTTTTTGGAACAGAGATTGAATGACTTATTGATAAAACAAGTAATTTGCGAATTTATCTATGTCGTTGTAACGAGATATGACGAATCCAACACCTTCATAGGTCGAAGTATAACTACATTAGGAATCCTGTGTTATACTGAGGACTTGGATAATTTTGAGGATCTGGATAATTCTGAAAACCTGAATACTTCTGAGGACCTGCATGATTCTGAGAACCTAAAAGATTCAATTCGGGTTCGAGCGTTTGTGGATATTTGCAAAATGACCAAATTCAAAGAGTTAAAAAAAAATTTGTTGGCTATCTTAATATTCTACAATGAACAATCGATAAAGTCATGGCTGAAGGTTTGCAGACCATTCTTGATCAATCCTCAGAGAGATATGAAAAAATGGGCAGTTGAAGGTCTGTCGTATCTCACTTTTGACCTCAAGATCAAAAACAAGTTGATCGAAGACCAACGAGCCATTCGAGCGATAATCGAGTTCGCCAAGACTGAAAATCAATCGATTCTCTATCAAGT